AGATTTTGATAAGTTGAAAGTACCCTCTTAGGGACCTGCTTCTTTTTTTGTCTTATCAAGAAAACAGTAGAAGGCTTTTCATATATTGCATTTACTACCACTATAATTACTGCAGTGAGGATATTTTACCTCATCGTGGGAGACCAATCTTTGTTTCTATGAATTCTTGGTCCGAGTATTGTTAGACAATGAATCTTCTACTCTTCAATTTTGTGCAACAGTCCGATTCTTATCTGAGGAGCGCTCAGATTTTGATAAGTTGAAAGTACCCTCTTAGGGACCTGCTCCTTTTTTGTTCTATCAAGAAAACAGTAGAAGGACTTTCACATATTGCATTTGCTACTACTATAAGTACCGCAGCGAGAAATTTTTTTACCCTATCGTAGGAGACCAAATCTTTGTTTCTATGAATTCTTTGTTTGAGCATTGTTAGACAATGAATCTTCTACTCTTCAATTTTGTCTGATTCTCAAGTTGTAAGTGCATTTATTTTCTAACATAATATTTACAGGGAAGTCCTTGTGGTCTTTCGACATGTTTTTGATTTTCAGAGCTTGTCATGGAAAAAAACTAGTGTTAAGAATTTAGTACAGTATATGCTAAAGTTGATTTAAGCTTATTGCCTCATTAACCTCTTACGTTCTTATGTATAAGACAACATTTTATTGATATAATGCTTTTCCTGGAATTTTAAAGAATTTGAATTGTTCCATGGAAATGTTGGGACTTTGAAGTTTCTTTTGGTTTATGCTATTGCAGGTTCAGTATATATTTTTGAATGCTGAAATCTATCACTTTAATTGATTATTTGATCATTGTTTGTTATTTTTCGTTCATTATTTTCATTCCCTTTTTTAATATTCCATATTGCAGGAGACAAAACTTGCACTGGCAATAAAGATGTTGAGACAAATGATATATGGTCATCTCTTGAATTCAAGGATGGTAATAGTTCCTTGGAAGATATTCTTTGGAAGATTGAAGTGGTACATTCAAAAGTATGGAAGTTGAAGACTCGAGTGGACAAGGTCGTGAAGGAAAATCAAGGAAACATTTCTTCAGCTAACAACTTCCTAGTACCCTGTGATGCATTGATGGGCTCTGCTCAAAATCCTGCTTTTCGTGGTGAAAATGGAAATAGATTACTGTTCGAAAGTTTATCCACTGCATCTATGCATATCAAATGTGACACGGGAGATCCATTCTTGCCTGAGATTGCAGTTTCAAATCGTGCAGAGCTGACCCCGCTTCCTGGTATTACTGTCACAGATCAGCCTCTGGTTGGCAGAGTACTTGAAAATGTAAGTGTTTCCTTTACGAATTGATCAAAACGCTTGTCTTTTTTGGTTTAAATTTATTGTATTATATTTGTGACTGACCATTTTTATAGATTTGGCACTGTTCTTTTTAAATGCTGCTTTGTGTTATAACCATCATGCTGGATCAATCATGAAGATGGACTGTAACCCTTATGTTGTATTGTGACAGGCCGAGGATATACACCTTATACCTAAGGATGCTGTCAAGGCTGAGCCATATGATTTAGAAGTTAAAGATCCGTTCATACGGAAGCCTTGCATATCGCCTGAAGAGCAGAAAACCAGTTGTCCTGCTCCAGTTTCGGAAACTGTGTTGCCCACAAATGTTCCTGTTCGGTATTCAGAAAAAGTGATGCCCACAAGCTCCAGAGTACCTAATACAACTGAAGAACCCGATTCCTCTACCAGGACTGCGTTGCCTTGGAAGACAAGAAATCAAGGGAGGCGAAAACCCGGCTCGTACTTGAATACTTTAAACCGGAAATCCTAAAGTTAGCTGGTTTAGAAGCGACAGTAACTTTTTTTTCGCAATGGTTTCTTGTATATGCTACTTGTTCTGCTGTAAATGCTTTTTGTCACACATGCGTATATGATTTCAACTGTAAATCCTGCTTCATCAGGCCAGCATACTATGGTTTCCGGAAATATTAAAATTCTGTTTCGTGTTTGATCAATTGAATTTCGGCATTATACCTCGATTACCGTGTGCTTAATACTTGCATTTTTAATCGCATCGCTTGGTTGATTTGTATATTTGAGCATCCTCTAATCATATCCGTTTATCGTGTATCGTGCAATTAGAAATTATTGTAATTTTTTTTATATAAAATTAAATATAAAAAGTACTTGATGAAAATTGGCCAACGAAGTATGATAAACGAATGTAATTGAAGGATTTTCGAAATTCTCATAAAGAGGATCTGGAGAGGATCCTCATTCATTTGTATTTGCTGTGATAAAAAAAAAAAATTCCAAAAGATAATTTTGTATTACAGTAAATATTGTAAAAGAAGGTTCTTTTTAGCCAAAATGGTTCTAGAGATTTGTATAACTCCTCACTTTGGTCCTTGAGATTTTAAATCAATACAAGTGGTTTCTGAAATTGTTCACCATCCATCATTTTGGTGCTTTCGTGAATAGTTATGTTAAATCTCTACTAATTAATAAAACACTCATTGTCTACCAAAACCCTATGAAATTACCAATTTAACTCTCTAATTAAAACAGTATATGAATAAGAAATATGGGGCAGAAATGTAATTTCACACAACTAAATTTTTTCTGTTTTTTTCTTTCAATGCCTCATATACATGTAATCCTAACATATCTCTAATTAAAAAAAAAAAAAAAAAAACTTCCTACTCTCACGTTCTTCATCACTCCCTTCATTTCTCCTTCTATTTAAAAAACAAAAATAAAAAAAATTTCTCACACACTTTGTGTGTGCCCATATGCTAGTAAAGATTAAAATGATACAACTACCCTCAATTTAATAAATAGTAGGCCAAAATGATTTGACAAAAATTGAGGGTATTTTTGTTATTTTATTCTTATTTAATGGAGATTTTGCACGGAAATACCAAAATTATTCTTTGTGACAAACTTAGGGACCAATTTTACCGATTTCAAATCTCAGGAATCAAAATGATAAGTTATGCAAATCTTATGGACTATTTCGGTTAAAAAAAACCTAAAAGCAACATAAGGAATTCAACATCTAGAAATATGGTCGTACCAGGGTTCTCTTGCTAGTACATGTATGTGTTACGATCAAAATTGTTGCAATCTATCTTAATTTTATTGTATTTTATTCCTCGAAGTTCTGTAACTATGAAAATACCCCCAAATAACTAAGTGGAAATCTTATGTGGACATTTGAGCTATTTTCCTATTTTGTCTCATTTGTTATGTTATTTGAATAGTACTTGACGATACAAACGGGTAAGCGCAAATGGAACGTAAGTTAAACACGTAAAATCTCATTCCTCTCCTTTCAATCTTCATTTTGACACATTTTGCTTAAAAAAATAGTTGAGTTGTGAACCTGTTATGTTCTGTGAAGAATTCTGGCAGAAAACTCTAGCTTTCAACAATTAACGAGAGGAAGGACGAGTGAATATCCCACAATGGCGACGAAATATTGGGTTAAAATAAAACTTTAGCGCTACGTGTTGGCACGTTTAGCGCAGTTAAAGGCGAGAACACCGCCAGTAGCAAACCACTCTACTCGCCATCAGTGGCAAGTACAGGCGTATGTGCACCACTGCCTGCTATGAGGATAACCGCACCACCGACAACGACTGACGACCACCGACGCGTGGTAGCGGGTGAGCTTTATTTTCACGCACTTTTAACACCCGACACGAGCAAACAAAAGGAAATTTAGATTCTTCTCCTTAGTAATTATGAGTTTTGAGTAGTATAAGGAATGACCAATAGTGGTTTTCGAGAGATTAATCCCTATAATTTCAGAGGCCAAGTAGGGTAAGACAGTTATGATCTGGCAATACATCAGTGAGTGGGCTTTTGTTTCCAACCTATATGATATATGATTTCCGAAAGTGTTTTATATGAAATGTTGTGTTATCATGACATTCTTTTACTTAGAAAATGCAATTATTTTATTTGATGTTAATCTTGTGATTTATGAATATTTTTTTCTGCACATCCACATATGAATTCATTTGTGTTAGTACTTGTTCTACAGCTTAGCTAGCCTCACGCTTACACTCAAAATGGATCCATTTAGTGCAAGCCTGTACTAGTTGGCGTTAGTAATCTAAGACTATGGTGTAATACACTTAGCATGAGCTTGACATGAATATAGTACTTGAGCATAAATTTATATACATAGCTTGTTGATGTTAGAATATATCTCAGCATGGAATCGTACTAAATCGGTATGTTTTTAGTTGAATAAGGATGTAAATTGAGCTTCTTTATGGGAAATTACTTATCACATTGACATTGATATTGACATTCTATTGTGCCTCAGAAAAGAAGACAAAGGATAAGCACAAAAGTAAACATCACAAGGCGATAAATAGAATTTGTATGTATTAGGCTTTAACCAAATTGGTATGAATACAATTGGCTCAAAATTAGTTACACGTCCATTGGCTGACCAAATTTCAGCCCAAAATTCATATGAAATAAAAAAAAAGCCTAACAAATTGGGGGTGAAGGCCCAATCCCAATCCTGAACAAAAAAAATCGAAATAATTTTGGTATTTTTCCGAATTTTGAAAAAACCGAAATTTTGGTTTGGCTTTTAGTATTCAAGTTTCAGATCAGTATACATAATAGAAACACTCGTATTTTTTACACAACACTTGAATATCATGATTGCGTCACACTTCAAGAGTCTACGAGCATGCTTATGTTTCGATCCGTGGCGAAACCATAAATTGTGGGGAAGGGGCGAAATTGAAAAGATCTTCGCCACTGCTAGCATATATGGTTGTCCTGCAAAGAAAGGCTGCGGTTTGCAAATTTCTATAGGTCACTACTCATTTGAGTCGTGAATTAGCTCTCATGCTACAAAAATTTCTAGTGGATTATTCATCCTCACAACTTCAACACAAATATGTTAAAACCAAAAGCACTCAACTAGTTGCAACATATTTGTTAAGTGTATGTCTCACAAACAATTAGTTTTCTTCTATATTACATCTTTCGAGGCACATTTTCAATATCCAACCACTCATTTTAATTCCTTCAATAGATACAAACACTTGTCATATTTGTTACAAACCAAGAAATAACAATTCAGCAGGAAGATACTAGAGTAATTCAGATACTCTGAACATATTCATATTTCAGTAATTCAGAGACTGTAAATGGTAAAAGGAAATAAAATGGCATGAGTAGTTAAGACGCTGCAGGGGGACCTTCAGGAAGGATTTCTCGCTCCTCATGGTGATTTCTGATGACCGAAGATGCGGCAGCACCTCCTTGGGGTGCTCTAGCTACGCCAATGGTTTCGGTCTTCGTCTGGATATCAGGTTCGGAGTGTGTCGAAGATGCATTTTTTCCCGTGAAAATTCTTCTGGAAATCTTAACAGAAATGAGAGCCAATACCGTTGCTGATGGCACGAAAAAGACGTCAGGAATGGCCTTGATCATTTTGAGCTGGGGCACACTCTCCCCTGCCCTTTTAGCAGCCATGGCTACCGGCGGCGTTACAACTCCTGTTATCACGGTAGCGTTATCGACCTTGCTTAGCCTTACTTTGTCCTTCATAAATTGGATGAAGATGTCCCTCCTGTCTTGCACTTTGGCATTTTTCCAACTTATGAACATAGCCTGCTAATAGTTAGTGTGTTAGAGAAGAGAAGCTTGGCAAGTGAAGAAGCACGGTCAATTTTAACTGACCTCAATTTCCTTGTGCGACGGCACATTGTAGTGTTTACCGGGCAGAGAAGAATTGAAAGTGCTGGGTAAGATTGTATCAACGGCAAAGTATTAGATGCTTTGTGTGATGGTACATTTGATGCAGAAACACATACAAGAAACTTGTAGATGAAAAAAGAAAAGGCATATTTATAGCTTGATATTCTTTGTCCAAAATTTAGGAAAAATTTTGGAAATCTAATGAAATTTGGGTCATAATAAAATGCAAGAATATGACTTAGGCCAATTAGAAAGAAAAAGACACTTATTAGAGATTAGTCCTATGTTTATAACAATATGCTTTAGGCTGATTAAAACAGGAGTGTTCATTCCGCTGTGGCGATGTTTTCGTTTTTCTTAAGGCGTTGTTTGGCAGATAGGATAAGTAGTATGATATGTTTGGTACTAAAAATGAATAGCGATCGGATAAGAAGATAATTTAACCATAGTCTCATGCAAAAACTAGAAACCATGATAAGTGACATAAATGGTTGCTGGTTTAGTTGTGAAAAAAATGGCCAATTTTGGTTGCTAATGCTGACAACAGGTTAACAGGACTTTTGAAAACAAAAGTTATAGTGTTTAGGTGATTTGGGTTCAATCTTGTATATTATTATTTCAAAATCACGTATTTTACTTCTCGCTATACTTGTATAATAAGCTTACTTGAAAATATCGAGAATGGCCAACTGGAAATCCTCAAAATTTTGGATATCTTTGTCGATGAACTGTTGGTACACCTTTCCCATTAAAAAGTTTAGCATCTGGCTGGATCGCAGCCCTATAAACAGCTCAAGATCATTAGAAGAGTTGCATAAAATTATTCAACATAGTATCTTCAACAAAAGAAAGAAAAAACTACTGCAAAAAGAATTTGAGAAATGAAAACAAAGTTTGTGAGAGGACAAACATGAAACTAAAAACGCTGGATGCAAACTACATAGCATGGAAAAGAAAATGAACCAACCTCCTCCCAATCCCATGAAACTCATAGACTGTCCCATTCTTTAGAATCCCGGTACCAGCACGTCCAAAACAATGTGTGTATGTATATATGTATTGAAAGAGAGAGAAAGAGAGAGAGAAGACAGAGCGGTTTGAGGGCTTAGTGAATGTCCCGTTTAGTAGGCGCAAGAAAGGTATCTGATCTTAGGCTTTCCAATTTCCATCCTCATTTGAAATCTGCTTCTTAGCTTGGAAGTTTGGACAATTGCTACCTTAGGACAGGCATCTGAAGTTGTTCCCTATCTTGCAGTTGCCTAAACATTCCTTCTTTCTTGCTTAATAAGCAAGCGGTTTGGTGAACGAGTTTCAAAAAACTTATCAAAGTCTCTGCTAAAACGGAGAAGTCTTTGCTCTCCATTGTATGCTTCACTGTATAACTTGATAAACACTTAACCTCCCTGTATACATGATAGAAAGGCATGGCACGGGTTGGTAGTGGTATATGCTTGTTTTTTCTCTATACTCATAAGCAATTCACCCCGTTTCTATAAGATGATAAATTCAATATGAACCTTCCCCCATCATATGCTTCCAACTTTGCTGCAAGGTTAAATGTATAGCTTCTGTATGCGTACGCACTCTGTGCCCAGCCGCAAACTCCTCGATTCTACCATCAACCTCTATGACACTACAACCAATCTCCTTATTTGCTTGATTCTTCCTCATCAACCTCTTAATTTCCTCCGCATCACTCCACCTTCTCTTTCTGGCATACAAATTTCTTAGCATTACATAGTTTCCATCATTCCCTGGCTCCAGCTTGGCCACCTTCTTTAAAACTTCGTTCGCTCTTGTGACATCTCCATAATGGCCGCATGCAAAAAGAAAAGAACTCAAAATTATTGCATTAGCATCGTAAGGCATGGCTTCGATCAATTTCTCAACTTCTTCCAAGCATCCCGCCCTTCCCAACAGATCTACCATGCAACCATAATGCTCAATCTGTGGGACGAGCCTGAAGCCCTCCATTGCTTTAAACCACCTTTTCCCTTCCTCTACCAGACCACAGTGGTTACAAGCGGACAAAACCCCGATAAACGTAATATTATTTGGCATAAAGTTCTCTTTCTGCATATCCAAAAATATCTCCAGTGCCTCCTCGCCATGGCCATTGACTGCAAATCCATTTATCAGAGCATTCCAGGAAGCTGTTTCTTTTTCAGGCATCTCATCAAAAAGTCTCTTGGCTTTTTCAATTTCACCACATTTTGCGTACATATCAACAAGCGCAGTGCCAACATTAGTTATCCTATCAAGCTTCTTCCTCCGTACGACCTTTTCAACCCAACGACCTAAATCCAAGGCGCCCAAATCTGCAATAGCTGGAAGAATGCTCACAACAGTCACACCATCCAATTCAAGCGATGTAGTTGACTGCATTCCCTGAAATAACTTCAAGGCTTCATGGGGTTGGTTGTTTTGACTATAACCTCCAATCATGGCATTCCAAGAAATAAGGTTCTTCTTAGGCATGGCATCAAAGAGTGATCTAGCGGAATGTATGTCACCATGATGGCAGTAACCAGAAATCATACCGGTCCAAGACACCACATTCCTATCCATCATCTCATCAAACAAACTGCGAGCTGTGCCCATATCCCCCAGTTTGACATAACCATCAATCATCGCATTAAATGCAGCCGAGTCCTTGTCAGGCATTCGATCAAAAAAACTCCTTGCATTACTCATGCCTCCAGACCTTGCATACCCACAAATAAGAGCTGTCCACGACACTTGGCTCGTGTGCGTCATTTTATCAAACACCTTCCTTGCACAAATCATCCTCCCAAACTTTGCATACATATCAACCAACGACGTGGACACATACAAATCTAAGCTCAACCCAATCTTAACAACTTGACAATGAAGTTCTTGTCCTTCCCAGATGGCCATATCTAATCCACACGCCTTCGCCAGAGCTGTGAATGTAAAGCCATCCGGCTCGAACTCCGTTTCCTGCCTAAGATTTCTATATAGTGTGAAAGATTCACCGAATTGCCGGTTTTCCATGTGAGCTCTTATCATAGAGTTGCAGAGAAATGTGTCATCATTATTGGGTCTCCGATCGAAGACGCGGCGGGTGTGTCGAACGAGAGCAATTGGGTTTTGATGAGAGCAGGTTGTGATGAACTTGGTGAGGAGATTGACATTGGTATCGAGGGAATTTCGGAGCATAAAAGCATGGATTTGGAGAAGAGAAGAAGTTGTGTTTGCTTGTTGGAGAAGGTCTAGGCATTTTCTTTCCAATGAGCTCCATCTCCATACCTGCTCTCTCATCACTCCTCCTCACTCTCTTAATTAGATGCTTCGTTGCAATTTTGAATGGCAGTTTTTTCAGTTATTCCCTCTCTCTCTTAATATTGGGTATATATTTGTGTATAAATATAATAAACTTCTTAATGTACCAAGTATAACTTTTGGACTTTTAGCCCTCTCCATTAGAGATAGCCTAAAATGTAATTTACCCCTACTTGTTTTGTTCTAGATTCTTCCATCTATCTCTCTTTTGCTTTTCCCTTTTTAGAATCTATTTCAAGATCCCAAAGGACGGTTTAGCACGACATATTATTAGAGCAATTCCACCGGAGTGAACTTTGCCCAGGACCCAGGAAAAAAACAGGGCCAGCACCCTGTCAATCAAGTCCACCCCTTCATGTTGACTGGTACCCAGCCCGAGCTGGGCTCTTGACTAGCCCAAAAGAGACTGAGACAGAAGCTGGGGAGTTGGCCTGGCGCGTGCGCTTCACGCAGGCGTGGCGCGAGTGCCCAACAAGGTTTCAGAGCGCGGGCCCGCGTGCAGGCGCACTCTGTCCCCCCCCCCCCCGAGTTGGCGACGTGGCTTCCCTTCTGCCGTTGGATTTCCAACGGTTAGTTTTCTAGACCGTTGGATTTCCAATGGTAAAAAAAATTTAAATTTTACTTTTAAAATAGACCGTTGGATCAAAGATCAACGGTTCAGGTTTTTTTCACAAAAAGTAAATAAATAAAAAAAAAAGCCCAACAGTCATAAATATGACCGTTGGCCACGTGGCAACTCCCTAGCTCTTGGATTTGAATATTTTTCAAATCCAACGGTCCAGATTAATTAACTATATTAAAATTCATTAAAAATTATTAAAAAATACAGAAAAATTATTAAAAAATACAGAAAATTTTGAAAAATGTTAATTTTTTTCCTATAAATACCTAACCTTCATCTTCTACCTTTACACCACATTTCAATATTTTCTACACTTTCTATACTATCTACATTTCAATATTTTCTACACTTTAAGAGAAAAAAATGTCTTCGTGGAAGCTCATTGAAGATGTTACGTTGTGTGAATGTTGGGTTCACACTACTCATGATCCGATTACGGGTAATGAGATGGATAAACGAGAAATGTGGAGTAAAATTACGAAAGCGTTTTGCGATGTACATGGAGAAAACGCCAGAACTAGTCAAGGTCTTCAAGGTCGTTGGAAAAAACTCAACGCATCCTTTACTTGTTGGAAAAATGCCATCTCTCATGCTTCCGGTAACCTCCGTAGTGGGACAAGTTTAGCGGATCAGGTGAAAATATTTTTATTTATTTATATGCATTCCACTCACATTAATATTTTGATTTATTTAATTTCGTATGTAATTTTTATGTTATTTCTTATGTAATTTTTATTTAATTTCTTATGTCATTTTTATTTAATTTCTTATGTCATTTTTATGTAATTTATATTCATTCCACCCGTATCAATATTTTTATGTAATTTTTATGTAGAGGGCTTCAATTGCAGAGCAAAACCGCATCAGGGACTCCAAAACAGTTGTTTTTCCCATCCTCGCGATCTCATCCACTTGATCTGCAGATGCTCCATATGCAAGCATTCGCAAGGATGCCGTAATTTTTTGCTCGGGAATAAGACCTAGAACATGAAAAGCATCCTCTTTTTGCACAAAGTATGAATCATGGTTGCAAATATCACTCATGATTTTGTTGAACAAATTTCGTTTCATTCTAAAACGCCGTCTAAAAATATGATCAGGGAATATGCTATTGGGAATAAAATAATCTTCTAATAGATTTTTACCTCGTTTTTCCCTTTTTCTATCGAGGTTTGCAACACGTCTTGGTTTGGCTATTTGACCCACGACTTCCATGACACGGCGGGAATGTGAGGCCTTCTGCCTTCTATGGTGATCATCCTCATCCTCCTCCATGAAGAAAGCCTCATCTCCACCTCCACTTCCACCTTCCTCGAGATTGGCCAATTCTGCCTGTTGTGCCAACAACCTTTGTTGTTGCTCCTGCAATTGTTTATACACCCTTCTTGAAGAAGACATTGTAATAAGAACTCAAGATTTGAAAACGATGAACAAGGATTCTGAGCTAAAAAGAAGGATTGAGCTTGGTGTGAGGATGGATGTAGGGATGTAGGGTTTATATGGACAAAAAAAGAAAGGATGAGGTTCTGGACAATGTCACGTGGCACTACGTGATTGGTTGAAAATCTTATCGAAATCTTGGCTAAATTATTGTAAACCGGAAGTAACACTTGGCGTGTCGGGATTGGTCGAAAATATTATCGGAAATCTATCCACAAAATAGTACGTTCAGATAATGACATGTGGCATGACGTGATTGGTTGAAAATCTTATCGAAATCTTGGCTAAATTATTGTAAAACGGAAGTGACACGTGGCGTGTCGGGATTGGTTGAAAATCTTAGCAGAAATCTATTCACAAAATAGTACGTTCAGATAATGACATGTGGCGTGACGAGATTGGTTAAAACTCCTATCCGAAATTAAAACTATTTTATTTTTTAATTCTTTTAGACAAAATTTAAAAATATTTTAAATGGGCTGGGTGCCAGCGCATTTTGTAGGGATGAAGATCGTTTGTGCCAGCGCATTTTTTCACTAGGTGCCAGCGCATTTTTTTAGGGGTGGAGATGCCTTGGCCTATTACTGTTCATTGGAGTCTGTTACTGTTCATTTGAGTGGATAAATGCGCTGGGTGCTGACGCAAAGTCCTTAGGGGTGGAATTGCTCTTACCACTCATTTTGTTTCTCCCGCACACTTCTACACTTTATTTTTATCTGTTGATTCTCTTTTATTCATTCAATTCAATAACTATTTTTTTTTATTGATTCTTGTAAATGAGAAGTGCAGAAAGCATTTATTTTTTTATTCATTCTTGTAAATGACAAGTGCAGAAAACATTTGATGCATGTGTAGTACAAACAACAAACATGATATTTTCATAATTTAATTGAAAAAAACTTCATTAATTTACCCTCTTTTATATAATATAATTACAACACGTATAATTTACAATTGTATAATAGTTTAATTCACCTCCATTTCTAATTTATTTCAAAGTGCATTTGCAAATCAGTTTATGAAAAATAAAGTTTCTCACACACATGAAACTTTACACCAAATTTTTATTTACCAAATTCAAAAAAGACTTATATGAACAGGTTCACCGTCACTGCAACATAAGGGTTTAATATTAAAACAATGCTATTACAAAATTTTCTCCACATAATATAATATTATTAAGTTGACATGTCACATGAAAATAAACTCGTTCTATTGTGGGGGCATCTGACCAAGATGTTAACCTAGCCCATGTACTTGTCAGATCTTCGGCCAAACCCAAGTCTTTAGAGATTAGGGCAAGTAAGAAAGTAGAGATAGACTAGGTCTAGGAAAACCCTTCGACTCCTTTCTTCAAGTGGATTAGGGTTAGGAAAACCCTATATACACATACATAAACCCTGAAGTTATTCAATATATATAAACAAAAACCCAAAACTTACAATATTATACTCAATATTTGTCGAATTGGTGGTGCTCAACTTCTTCAACTTGTTTCACAATCATGGCTTCCAACATGCAGAGGACGGGACAATTCAATCCCGGTTTTCAAAACCGACATCCGGTACCGATTCCTGTTACTATGCTCCAGCCAGAGAGTGCAATCCCCGGACCAAAAGCAACGTATGATCCTGAACAAGCGGTCGGTGTTGATCAGAATGATGATTTATGTTCCTGGGAAAGTATTGATAATCAGCTGAGTGATGACGATGACAATGACGATTTTTCGTCTTGGGAAACTATTCCTTACAGTCCTTGTGCAACCCCTAATTCCACTGAAAGCAATTCTGCACTGCCCTCTCCTTCTTGTTGTCTGTCATCGCCGTCAACTACTCTGTTGCCTTCACCTATTCCATCATCCTCTCCCGCTTTTACTTTGTTGCCTCCCTCTTGTGATCCATCCTCACCGTTAACTACTCCTCCATCTTCTCCTACTTTTAGTTCGTTGCCTCTACCTTCTCCGCCATCTTCTCCTGCTTTAACTTCATTGTTGTATCGATATCCTCCGCCTCCTTATTTTGTTCCATTTACGCCTTCAAGCAGTACTGGGCCGGCATCACCATATCCCACTTACACTCCATTGCCACCACCTTATTATGATGCACCACCATTTTTTCCCTCTTACACTCCATGGCCATCTCCTTATGATAATCGATATTCTTTATATACTCCACTTTATCCCACTAATATCCCTCTGATCCCTTCTCAATATGGTCTGTACTCACCCTTAAATACCCTATCATCTTCTTCTCCCACATGTACACCATTGCTGTATCGTTATCTTGGTTCGAACTTGCCTTCGGACGCTCCATCATGACTGTCATCATACCCACTCCCACTACGTTCGCCAGTGCCGCCACCTTATGATGGAGTTTGCTCACCTTCGACTACTCCAGCATCTTTTTGTTCAGACTGTCAATTCGACTTTGCCTCCGAAAAGTGGGACTATATCAGTTGTTAATTTCTCATATGTAATTAAACAGATTTTTATTTCAATAATAATTTACTTTTCTGCAGTTTAGCGTTAATTGCTATGCTTAAGAGTGTCGTTTTCTTACAAGTTCATGTTATAATACTAACTTATCATTTCATCATAAAAAGGATTGATTGTTTATTCTTAACCACAATAATAATGCGTTCATTAAGAAAAAGACCCAGTTATGGAAGTCATTAACAATTCAAAGCAAACTTACCCAAATTACGAGCTACAAGCAACACTAAAATACATATATACTCACTACAGACTCAGACTCGAGGGTAATCGAAGAGAAACCTGCATCCAAGTATAAGCACAGCCCATAAACTATCACCACGATTTCAACTTGTCGAAGAGTGGGGACGCTTAGGGGAGCGGCCTGAGCCACCGCCCTTATCATTTGGTAAAAAAGAGAGAAAAAAATTGGTATGAATTATTATAAACTACCTTTTTATTTATTCCACTTTCATAGCATAACCTCAGCAATCATGTCTACATTTTTATAGCTGTTAACTCAAATCCAACTTTTCAATTATTTCAAAATGCATCTGTAAATTAGGAGTCCTATCAGCAAAATAAAATTTCTCGCACACCTGCAATTTTCCTCCACTTCTCTGAGCTTCAGACTCCAGCAGATGAACCAACTGTTCTTTTTCTTTGGATATCCAAGCTCGCCTGTTGTCACGCCATTGCCTCGGTGTCCCGTGTAGGATAAAACAGATTGCTGCAGCTCCTTGTATCAGGCGTTCTGAGATTTTCTCAATCACACTTTGGTCAGTGACATATGCACCAGGTGAATTTAATCCAACATCGACGTAATGGATTTCTCTGATGCTGCTTAAAAGGCTTTTTTTTGTACTAGGTACGATATGAATCCCTTCTTCCACGCCAATATGCTTTTCCTCCATGAGTGATGCACCTCCAGAGGATTTGACATCCAAGAACCCAAGTTCAGTAACTAACTGGTTAAGGACAGTACCACCCTTACTAAATCCAAAAAGTAATGTTTTGGTTTGATTATGCGATGTGGATATTCCTTGTTGGAGTTGTTCTTTCTGTATCGCATTGTCCTTCTTCACCTGCCATCATCAGAAATTTAGTTTATGAGATAAGAATCGTCTAATAGCCTCTTATGTTGGAGAGATAAAAAGCGTTTTATCCAATTCAATTTAAAATATGGATCATAAATAGTACAATTTTAGATTCATAATGACTAACACTCCCCTCTATCCCATAAATGTGCCACTTATGTCGTAAGGAAACAACCAAGAAATTCCAGAAACACTACTACATTAGGTTGATATCTTTAATTATTTCTATAAGTGTCAAGTGAAGAAATATAAAATTTTGAAGAGGCCAATGAAGTACGATATACCTCTTCAAGGCACCTTGACAGGAGGGAAATAATGGTCCCAGAAGCAGGGTATCCAATAGGGCAGTACGATTTTGGCTCTCCCCATTGATTAACAGATGGAATAAAGTCCCGATACACAGCAAAAGGCCCATTGAAAACAGAAGCGTCAATAACCCAAGCATTGGTTGAACCACCAATCTTTGAAACCAGTATTTCAGCTATATTTTGTAAGTCAGATAGCCTCTCGATCACTGGATTCCTGGTTCCTGCCACTCGATCTCCATTGAAAAATATGACATTTGCTGAAGGAACCTGCTTCCCAGGAAAAGTAGAAGATACAGCCCAGTCTTCATAAGTCAGAAAAGAGACATAATTGGGTAAGGTGTAAGAGCTGCCCCGAAGAAAAAGTGGATAATCCATCACTTATACACTACTTCATATGAAATTAGCAGCGATTCTATTTCTAACATTTTGTGGAAAAAGCAGAAGCTGTGATCAGAAATGCGTATCTTTCATGATAATTCACCAAGCGATAAATGGAAATGCTATAAGTGCTTGGTTGAGTATCCAGAACTTACAGTTAGTGTGTTGGAAGAAGGTGATAGGCAGAGAGATGCTGCAACTTGGTAGCAGGTCCTGGCATTAGGGTTCAACGGGACCTTTAAAACTCCACGCCAGCGTTCCATTAATACATCTACTGAATCGAAAAACTGAAATTTAACAGAAGTGAGAAATCGGTGGCATCAGTGACATAGGCAGACAGCAGTAACCAAGGAACGACCGCGACATAACGACAATTGAAACTGCACCAGAGCAATCAACGAACTATATATCCATGCCGTTCAATCCTAAGTTCCTAACTAGATTACCATGAACAATGAAAAGTGCTTCAAGACACAAACAATCCCATGATATCTCACAATATTATGAGAGCATAAACACATACAATTATCAAGAAGAACACATAACCATTAACCCACTCCTCCACCGCCTTGATCCCTTTGATCTGCAAAACCAAATAACATTTTTCAACAAAAAAAAACTAATTTAACAAAGCAAATACAGTATAAAAAAACAGATATTGAATATAGATTCATTTAGATTACAGGAAGTCCATTCATACAACCAAAAGGATATAAATAAAAATATTCAAGAACCAACCTTTTTCAAAGATCACTGGTTCCAGCGTTCAAACCAAAAAACTGAAGACGGTTACCTGAATTAAATGAAAATTAAAATGTAATTAATTTACTCTTAACCATGGTTTTTCTTCAAGAATCAGAAAAACCTAAAAATATCCCAAATTTTGGAACTGCTTTAAGCCAACTTACCATGAAATTACAGTCGCTTGACAAATCTTCTTAAATCAAGACGGAACAGGCATCGCACACTGCGTTTCTTGGAAATCTATTTTTGGGTGAATTTGGGTGGTGTTTGGAGGTGATATGGTGGTGGTTCTCGGTTTTGCTGAGAGGGAGAAGGAGAGTTGCAGAGCGGGGTCAGATGGGAGAGGCAGAGTAGTAAGGGATGAGAGAGATTGACAGTGTTGGGAGATGGGGGAGTCTGAGTGGCGTAGAGAGAAGTGAGGGTGGAGTGAATTAGGCGTGGGAAGGAGGGGGAGAGGAATTAGAGGTGGTTTGGGAATGAGGTCTTAAAAAAAAAAATGAAAGAAAATTAATGAAAATTGTTTGTAATCTTTGAGTTTTAATGATAAGGATAAAATAAAGGGTAAAGTAAATAGTATCAGGGTTAACTTTTTAGTGTAAAAATATGATTTTTCGTTAAAGTGAACAGTACCAGGTGCTTTTCGTTAAAGTTTCCTAAAAAAAAGCATTTCTGAAAAAAAGTTGTGAGGGTTTTAGGTGTTTGGTAAATTAAAAAAAATGGCTTATTTTGGAAGCTGCTGTGAGAATAAACTGAAATCAAAGGAAAGAGCTGAAGCTGCTATTTGCAACTTTGGAAAACTGGTTTTTTTTCAATTCACACAGAGCTACAATGCTCCTTTAATGAAAATACCCACTATCAGACTATTTTTTTTTTCCAAAAGCACTTTTACAAAAAAGTTTACCAAACATTCTTCTGCTTTATTTCATAGTCGCTGATTCTCACAGCACAGCCGCTTATTATCACAACAGTTTTTTTTTTTTAAACACAGCAATACTAAATCAGCCCTTAGTGGGGTTGGAATGGTGAGTACTGACTTGGTAATTAGGCGCTTTTATAAAAAGTTGAGTTTAAAAATATGTTTGGTAAACTCTTAAAAACAGCTTATTTTTATAGTTTTAGGTAAAAAAAAGTTGAAAACATTAAGCAGCAAAAATGAGTTTATTCTCACATCACATCAGAATCAGTTTTTTTTTTGTTAAAGCATAGCAATACCAAACCAGTTCTGAGTTGGATGGGGATGGGTGATAGGAACCAAGGAAAATTCTAGAGATTGAGAGATTTTTCGAAAAAGTATCCTCGTCAGATCATTTTTTTAGGGATCCTTGAATCTTGTGATCCTGATTATTTATCGTATATCGTGTTGTTAGAAATCATTTTAAAATTTAAAATTAAATATAAATAGTACCTACCGAAACTTGACCGCACGATGTATGATGAACGGTCAGGATTACGGAAGGATCCCAAGAAAAATGATCCGTCGATGATCATTTCCAGATTTTTCAATATAACCCGAATACGGAATGGTATTTTTGGTCGAAAATTGTTAGTGAAGGATAAAATGGTAAAATAAAAAAGTCAGAACACTAAGGAATAGAATAGAAGGGCATTTCCGCCCTTGTACTGTTAACAAACAGTACTTTTCTGCTTTAGATTTTAGTATAGACAATGTTACAAGCTAATTTGTGTTCCTTTTTTCATTAATCTCTCGGATCCTCACCCAAACATAGCCTTAAATTTTAAACCAATTACAAATCTTGAGCATGTTGGATACAATTAGGTGATGAATTAGAGTAAAAAAAAAAAATGCTCAGCGTCAAGTTTTACCACTACAATTTTACATGATGCAAGCACAAACACATAAACAGCTAATTGATGGGTAACTTTTTACTCTTAATTTAGCAACTTAAACAATATAAGATAAGGGAGAAACCCTTTTTTTTTCTTTTTTTTTTGTCAAAATTTTCTCAGGGAAAACCCAGATAATGGAGATTGTATGTATAATTAGTGTTCTAAAAATCGGCCTAGGTGGCGCCTACGCAATTTTTTTTATTTATATTTTTTATTAATTGTGTGCTTTGTTTTTTTTGGTTTCATGATGGTATACTTATAGAAATGGTGTACCTAATTTGCAAATGATGGATTTACTACAAGTTCATCCAATAGTGAAACGAATTGGAGCACTTTTGAGGGGATACATACAAATAAAAGAAATAAACTAGATACAACAAGGTTAAATAATTTATTCTATGTCCAATCCAAGTCCTCCTCATTATGTTTATATGCTTAATGTTTTTTAATATTGAACTTTTTGGATGTATATAATTTGTATATTCTTCTACTTCTAGTTTCGCATTTTATCATTCTTTTATTATCCATACAAGTATATGTGTTTTTTTAGGTGTAAATAGGCACTTATTTACAAGATATATAATAAATTTACATAAATCTGCTTAGGCTGCCTAGGCGCCCTCCTACCCACCTAGGCGCTAGGCCCCTACCCGCCGCCAGACTACCGCCTAGCGATTTTTAGAACCTTGTATATAGTCATGGTTTTTGTTAAGCAAAATCCTAAATCATTAGAATTCTAAAATCTCGGTTATCAACAAAAATAATCACAAGTCTCAGAGATAGAGAACTTACTTGAGCTGAAGCATAAGATGCTATGAATCAATGGGCAGGTTTTCTGGGGGCTTCTGGACAGAAAAAGGAGCGCCTTTGCCCAACAAATCTTATTCGGGTCTTTGGCCAGGATTTTATTTGACCTGACCCGAGTTTATTATTCTTTTTAAAGTAACTGTTAATTTCCTCCTTGAACTTTCATTTATCTTCCGATTTCTCCTTTAAACTTTTGTATTTGAAAAATTAAGGAGGCTAAGCCCACGCTTCCCCTTAGTATAGATGATATCGTCTTTCATATATTTCATCCATGCCGTCCAATCCTAAGTTCCTAACTAGATTACCATGTACAATTAAAAGTGCTTCAATTTGAAATTAGATATATAATATTAAACACTAATTTGTGTTCCTTTTGGCATTAATCCCTCGGAACCTCAACCAAACATGGCCTTAAAGTTTTAACCAATTACAAATTTTGAGCATGTTGGATACAATTAGGTGAAGCATTAGAGTAAAAAAATAGGGAAAATTAGAATGCTCTACATATTTTCTATAGTTGTTAGATTAAACATTCATCCCTTTTAAAGATTTGATTAAGGTGCTTCAATCAATTGCCACCTCAATAATTTTCTATTTATTTAATTTCCATGTCATTAATTTAAATGCATTTATATAGAGGCATACTGTCACAGCCCGTCCCGGAATTATAAATTCCGAGGACGTGAAAGTACGAAAATATCCCTAAACGTGACAAGGTGTGTAAGTGTAAAGTTGGTTTTAATCTAAGTTCATAACTTTTGGTTAATTAAAATGTCTTGTGGGATAAGAACTTAGAATTAGGTTTACATTTTTGTATTAAGTTTAGTTAAGGACTGAGAAGGGGCCGCGTGGGATCCCCATTCCTTATTTCCCTCCCTAAAACCCGTAACTCCTTCTCTCTCTCTTACTCAGACTCTCTTTCTTCCTCAAACCTTCACTCTCTCTCTTACTCTCGAACTTACGGACTCACACACACAACCTCAATCAAACCTCCACGAACGTCCAATTTAAAACCACCATTGCAATCCTGAGGACTTCACGAACACGGGGATACCAATTTCAGGTGAGTTTCACTTCGAAAAACCCTAGTTTTTAAAGCCCCGTGAAATGACACTGTTCATGATCTTCTAAATGGTTACGTTTTAGGTTAAAACAAGATCACAGGGAGTCTTAGGAAGTTCCAAGGATGCTCGGAGTGTAACGTTTGGAAGTTTTGGACGTCGGAATACCTAGTTCGACGTTTGGCCGAGTTTTGGGAAATTTTGGAAGGTATGATCCCGTGATTTTTAGTGTTTAAAACCCTTCCAACGTGATTGTACATGTTAAATGCTTCATTTTGGTGTAAAATTCGAGAAAAATGGACGAAAAACGAGTGAGAATAGTTAATTAGAAAATTTTCCCAGTTTTTCGGTGACCGGAGTCCGGCGAGAGTCCATCAGAGAAGAAGCAGGAATATTCCGTTAGTTATAACGGAATATTCCTGACGCCGTTAACGGAACGGTTAGGTTTTAACGGAATATTCCTGACGGCGTTAACTGACGCCGTCAGTGTGCAACGCACGTGGCCGCGCGTGGGAGGCGCGTAGGTCCGTGCCACGTCAGGCGCGTGGGGGCGCGTGAGACCTCCAAAAATTATTTTAAAAATATGGGGATGATCCTGAGTTTGTGTAGGTCACCGTGGTATATTCATATACCCAATTTGAGCATCGTTTGAAGAATTAATCACCTAGTTTGGTTTAGGTGCGTTAATTGTGCGTTAAATGATGTTTTTTAGTTATTTCACTTCTAGGTGGGACTTATAACGAGGACGAGCACATCCAGGGGCGTCAAGGGGGTTACGACCCGGCGACATACCAGTGAGTGGGCATTTGTTTTTATATATATACCTATATACTCGATTTCCCCAGAAATCAAAATTAAATGAAAAGTATATTGAAATGAAATGAAAAATGATTTGATTGCCATGCATAGAATGTTATGAATATTATGAACTGTCGTATGATGCATATATGTAAAATGGTGCTGTGGACGCACAGGTGAGTATTTAATTACTGTCATGATGATGATATATATTGAGCTCATATCCTGCACCATGGTTAGTGCTTATAGTATTCACCGCATCGCACGCTCGCCTTGGATCCAAGTAGATGCTGGTCGCACAGTCCACGCGGAGTGGGTGCGACGGGCCAGTCGTAGAGTGTTAGTGAGATTTCGACTGGTGGGTGACCTTAGATTATGTGTACAGATGATTGATGAGAAAAGCACTAGAGCGTAATATTAACCATTAAGTCGTACAGACTACATTAGGTGGTTCCGACTTATGTGCAGAAGGCCGGACAGGTCACAGAGGTGACTCCGGCAGAGTGAGAGTGATAGATTTTGAGCTCTAGGTTCAATCGTTCAGGGCCATTAGAGGGCCTCCGATTGATTACTATCTTTTACCTGATTTATATTATGTCAATGCATTCATACTAAACTGTTGAATTTGGCATGGTACATTCTTTATTGAATCTGTTATAAGATTGATGATCGAGATGGTTGAGATATATATATGCTATATACTATTTTTCTGGGAAAGTATACAGGTTTTCCAAAAAGGGGTTATAATTGTGGATTTATGAAATGATTTGGAAAAGCTTATTTTCGCCCACTCACGTTTTCTGTTTTTTCGCCCCTCCAGGTTCTAGTTGATAGTTGAGGCGTTGGTGGCCTACGAGGACTACTTCGGCGTTATGACAGACTAAATAAATGTAGGATTTCACCCGAGGGTGTTGTAAATTAGTTATGGTCCTACTTGACTGCACCTAGACGC